AATTGCACATTGACTGTTGACTGCTGCACATGCTGCTCCCATGCAGCATACATTCTCTGTTATATTTTTATATATTTTATTATATTGCTGCATTTGCTGCTTAAAGTGCCTTAAATTTTGTGTTACTTATTTATCTACTTTACATTTCATTTGTATTTTGTGGCATTCATGTGGACGGCAAAGTAAGAATTTCATTGTACAGGGAAACACATTTCCTAACTGTGCATATGATAAATAAACACTTTGACCTTGACCTTTGACCATTGAATGAAGGGCATTTATTTTGTATTGCCATCACAACAGAAGGGGGTAGCACACATCTATTACTTCTTCTGCCATTACTTATTTCTGCTGTAAAGTTGGGCAGTTTAATAGGGGAGTTTATGGGGGCCAGCCTCAAGTGGCCATTGGGGGAACTGCAGGTTTTGACATTTCTGCACTGGCTTCATTTCTCAGCCTTGGAGTTTGCTGTTTGGTGCCTTGCGACTGGAGTTTAGATGTGTGTTCACCACTGCACACTATTTAAGGAAAGTACAACTCAAACTACTGGAGTGCCAAGTAAATAACTGAATGAATAAATAAATGCAGCAAGCATTACAACAACAAAGCTATGGGTTCAACGCCCCAGAGTTTGATTTTATTAACATGTTATTAGCTCTTGTAAGGTTTAATGAGACCCACAGAGGATCAGGTAGCCTGGTAAATATAGTACAAAAACTGCAAGTGAACAGTCTGTTAAGTTCATCTGTAGGCTGGACACGTGAATGGATGAGACGTTTCAAAACAGGTTGTATGTTACTGTGATGCTCATAGTAAAACTTCTCTTGTCAGTTATCTGTCTGTTATATAGTATTGTTGTTGTATTACTGTTTATTTTTTGAGTCTTAATGGAGGATAAATTGAATGTAACATACATAACTCTTGGTGGGCATGTAGAATTGCAGAAATACCAATATCTTTACTTTGTGGTCATGTTTACATTATATATTCTCATAATCTGCTGTAATTCCACAATTGTGTGCCTCATAGTGATTCACAAGAACCTCCATGAGCCTATGTACATTTTTATAGCAGCTTTGTTGATCAACTCTATTCTTTACACCACAACGATCTTCCCAAAGCTTTTGACTGACTTCTTATCTGAAACACAAGTAATTACTTATCAGGCCTGTCTCTCTCTTTCAGGTTTTTGCATATTACACACTGGCTTTTTCAGAGTTCTTACTGTTGGCAGCCATGGCCTATGACAGATATTTGTCTATATGTAAACCTCTGCAGTATCCAACTATCATGACAAAAAAAACTGTCAGTGTCCTTCTCATTTTAGCTTGGCTTGTGTCTGCTTGTGAGCTTGCATTAGCAATCACACTGAATGCTAATATAAAACTCTGTAACCTTACTTTGAAAGGTATTTTTTGTAACAACTCAGTTTACAAAATTCAGTGTGTGAGTTCAGTAGCTCTTTCTATCTATGGTGTCTTCATATTGTTAAATCTTGCATTGCTCCCTATGCTTTTTATTCTTTTCACATACACTAGGATACTAATTATATGCTACCGAAGTAGTAAAACAGTCAGAAACAAAGCTGCACAGACCTGTTTACCTCACCTACTGGTTTTAATCAACTTTTCCTGTTTTATTACCTATGATATTGTTATAGTTCGACTGGAATCAGACATTCCAAAAATTCCTCGTTTTATAATGACTTTACAAATTATTTTGTATCATCCTCTTTTTAATCCTATTATATATGGACTAAAGATGAAAGAAATCTCTGAACACCTCAGGAGGTTGTTGTTTCAGGTCAAATCACACTAATGTATCCACACTGTCAGCTGTTACATGTAGGACACTGTTGTCTACCCAACGTTTTTGATTGACTTTTTAATCTGAAAAAGAGATCATATCATGTTTAGTCTCTCTTTCATTATATTAAAAATATTCTTTTGCAGGTTCAGAGTTTTTGTTGTTGGCCACTATGGCCTATGACAGATATGCACCTCTATGTAAACCTCTGCAATAACCAACTATCATGATATAAAGAAACTTCAGTACTTTCCTGGTTTTAGCTTGGCTTCTGCCTGCTTGTCTGGCATACAGTAGTACTGAAACTCAACACTATCTTTAAATTTAAAGGGATCATTTGAACATAGCTGATAAACTTCACAGTGTGAGGTCAGCTACACTAAGTACAGTGGTGTGAAAAAGTGTTTGCCCCCTTACTGATTTCTTATCTTTTTGCATGTTTGTCACACTGTAATGTTTCAGATCGTCAAACAAATTTATATATTAGTCAAAGATAACACAAGTAAACACATCATGCAGTTTTTAAATGAAGGTTTTTATTATTAAGGGAAAACAAAATCCAAAACTATATAGCCCTATAGTTAATAGTATTTAACACCTTTTCTACTGGCAAATCCTTCAATATTTGAATGGTTTCTGTAGCTGAAAGTTCTGAACAACTGTATGTGTGCCTGTGTTATGCACACTAGTTAATTAGCTTAAGTGGAGGGCTCATAAGTAATGCTTAAAAAGGTGAAAGGTAAATAGAATATTGACAAAACAGGAAGCAGAAAAAATATCGATAGAATAAATTGTTTAATCATTGGTCGAGTTATGTGACCACACACAGCCACTGGGATTTGTCTATGGAGAGATAGAAAAAATGTAAATGTCGATTATAAAAAAAAAAACGTAAAAGATATCAAGATGCTTGTTGCATTCCATTGGTAGCTGAACGTCTCATGAGTTGAATAGGGTTGAAATGGCGTTTCTAGCCCAAGGTATGCCTGAGATATTAAGGTTAAACTTTTCGCGAGTTGAATAGAATTGATAAGAATCAGCTGTACGCTCCTTGTGAGAGAGTCACAGGGAGCGAGAGCCAGAGACGCGGCGACGAGCAAACGTGCATTTCTGCATTCAGTTTGAAACAAATACAGCACCCTGTTGTGTTATTACACTGTTGTATTATGTCATGATATTAAACAAACTGAAGGAACTGTGGAGTTTTTTAATTACCTAGACGTTTTCCTTCCAGTATATTTGACTGCAAGTCAGGGAGAGACAGAGAGCGAGAGACGCGGCGACGAGCAAAGGTGACATCTGCAATAAGTTTAATATATATATATACAGACATTTGTTGTGTTATTCCACTGTTGTATTATGTCAAGATTAAACAAAATGAAGGAACAGTTACAATTTACAAATATGCTGACATTTTGTTTCAGCGGATCTTCTGTATTGGCTGTAAGTCCATACTGTCTGGAATGTGCAACTTACGCAAATACCGTTCATACCATGCTATAATAACAACACAGCTGGATTTGTGACAATTTTCTCTACGATTGTCATCTATTATATGTGTATAAAGCTTAAGAACGGGATAATAGGAGCACAAAAGCAATGAGGACGAGGAAAAGCATAGAGAAAGCTGCTAGACTGGGGGGGTCACGTGACGCATAGCTGCCAATGGCATTGCATAGTATTGGCCCATTTGTTGTCTATGGACAAACAGACAAAATATAAATGTCGATTATAAAAAACCGTATAAGATATCAAGATGACTGTTGCACCAGTGGTAGCTGGTCCTTGAAGAGCTGAACATTTTGATAGCTGAAATTATGCTGAAGTTGATTTTTCCCATTAATTTGAATGTAGCAAGAGCTTCAAAATAAAGCTAAATATTTCAAAAGTATGAAGTTTAGAAAAATTCTGAAGAGAAGCATGAATATCCTTGAAGAGCTGAACATTTTGATAGCTGAAATTATTCTGAAGTTGAATTTTCCCATTCATTTGAATGGGGCAAGATTTTCAAAATAAAACTAAATATTTCAAAAGTATAAAGTTTAGAAAAATTCTGAATAGAAGTTTTAGATTCATGCAGTTCTTTTATCTGAAGACCCCAAGAAGTAACACTCAGGAAACAAGAATCAGCTTTACATAGATTTATTTTCATCTGGTTAAAAGCAGAGTTATTACAGCGCTGGGCTCTGTGAGATGACAAGTCCCAAGAGCCCTGATAATAGGAAGTAATTCACATTTATCTTCTCGGGCTGAGACTGCCCTGTACATGGGTGGAACTCATATTATCTTCTAATCTGTTGTTTCAAGGTTCATACAAGTTTCATACAAATATGAACTCATATTATCTTCTAATCTGTTGGCTCTACACTCACAACATGAACTGGACACAAGGTTCATATAAATATTCTAGAATGTTCGAATAAGCAGTGTGTGTGTTGTTATTTTCAGGCGTTTCTTTCTAACTGAAAGTAGACATGCAGTTAGCATCTTATCTATAGTTTTCAGAATGACACTTATCTCTGCAATCAATTTAGGCACATTTCACCAAGAAGACAAGAAATACTACTAGTTGACTCAAAGCTGAATATTATGACAATGATGCATGCATAAGAGCTGGTTAATACTGATACATGGAGCTGTTAATGAAACACAGACAAATAGTCATACTGAACCCTTCCATTATAAAAGCAAAATAATACAGATGATAAGTAGAAAAATAACTTTAACTCCTGAAATCCGGTCCTAACAGAAGCATGAATGACCTTTTGATAGCTGAATGGCATTTCTAGCTGAAAGTATGCTGAAGTAGTTAAGGGCCAAAAAATGTACAGAATAATAATAATAATAAAGACCAGGAAAACAAGGTATGGATGCTGAGTCAGCATTACTAATGTCACTGCACAGTCTGGCTTCAGTTCCTCAGATTTCCCTCCAGCCCTTCCCTGCCACTTAGTCTTGAATCTCTCTCTCATTCAGTTAAACGGTCTTATGTCAGAACATTTAGGAATGATTTCACTGTTCACACCAGCCCCTCGCCTATTAGGAATTCCACATACATGGATACATTCATGTCAGAAAGCATTCAAAACTCAAGGTCAAAGTGTTTATTCGTCATATGCACAGTTAGGAAACATGTTTCCCTGTACAATGAAATTCTTTTCCGACCACATGAATGCCACACAGTACAAATGAAATATGAAGTAGATGAATAGGTAACACAAAACCTATGACACTTTAAGCAGCAAATGCAGAGATATGATAAAAATATATAAGGCTATAATAAGAGAATGTATGCTACATGGGAGCTGCATGTGCAGTAGTCAACAGTCAATGTGCAATTATGCATGTGCAAAGTGAGAATGTAAACAGTACAGGTCGTCAGTACATTTTGTTGTTCCTGGTAATAAACTCCTCAGCTGTTATGGAGTTTGATGGCAGAGGGAAAGAAAGAGTTTTTCAGTCTAGAGGTCCTGCATTTCACACTTCTGAACCTCTGGCCAGAGGGCAGGGAGGCGAACAGTCCGTGCTGGGGGTGAGTGGGGTCTTTGAGGATGGAGGCAGCTTTCCTATGCACTCTGCGGTGGTAAATGCTCTGCAGAGAGAGCAGTAGAGTCCTGGTGATCTCCACAGTCTTTACCACTGTCTGCAGGTGCCTGTGGTTCATAGCAGTAGTGCTGCCATACCAGACAGTGATGCAGCTGGGCAGGATGCTCTCGATGATGCAGCTGTAGAAGTTGCAAAGGATCCTAGGTGACATGCCAAACCTCCTCAGCCTCCTCAGGAAGTACAGCCGCTGCTGGGCCTGCTTGACCAGCTGTGTGGTGTTGAGTATTCACTTCTTTTGGCAGTGCAGTCTCTTTGCTATGATTAGTCCTAAAGACTGATTGAAACGTGTCTAATTTAGTGTTTATCTAACATAAGATTTGAAATAGGTCAATTACTGTGTATGTCACTACTTCCCTCCACTATGCAAAAGTGAAGCCAAAATATTTTGAATACAGTGGCTACTATTTTGCTATTTTGCAACCAGATTCTGCATGGTAGTGGCCAGAAGTGAAAAGAGCATCAGACCACCAATCACAGCTGTCAAATCTGAAATACACCTTGTTTTATATCATTACATAACTTATTAAAAGCTAACTTACCAGAAAAATGATCACTTGTACACACATCAGTGTGATAACATCTACAAAAAAACACAGAAAATATCTCTGGGAACAATGTATCTGTTTTGTACCTTGAATTTTTATTGTGGCTCATGTCCCATCTGCTATGGAGCTGGGAGCTGTCACAGTGTCCATCATATATAAAGTCTTTGGATTGGGACAGTGACTCTCTTGTATTAAAGAACATTTTGGGATTGTGAATGTTGGTGTGTATCCAGTAGAAGAAATATGCTTGTCTTATTTGAATCACTTTGTTGTAACTGGTCAAGTTTTTTGGTGAGTATATTATGATGTATTGCCAATTTTGGTTTACACCATCTGCAGTCAACATTTCTACACTTTTTATTTTAATAGTTTTACTGGTGGTGAATTATTTGATGTTGTTAAAGTGGTAGTAGCTCTTGTTGTAAGGTTTAATGAGACCCACAGAGGATCAGGGAGTCTAGTAAAAACAGTATAAATTCTACCAGTCTGTAAACGAACACCCCCTAAGTTCAACTGTTGGGTACCTGTGAATGAATGAGACAGTTCAATACAGGTTGTATATTACTGTAGTGCTCATAGTAAGGCTGCTTTTTTTGTTAATGGGCCATCTATGTATGTCTGTTATACAATTTGTCTGTTTATTTAATAATTGTTGATTTTTAGACAGTCTTAATGGAGGATAAATTAAATGCAACATATATAACCCTTGGTGGACATGTAGAATTGCAGAAATACAGATATCTTTACTTTGTGGTCATGTTTACATTATATATTCTCATAATCTGCTGTAATTCTACGATTGTGAGCCTTATTGTGATCCACAAAAACCTCCATGAGCCGATGTACATTTTCATAGCAGCTTTGTTGATCAACTCTATTCTTTATAGCACTAATATCTACCCAAAGCTTTTAATTGACTTTATGTCTGAAAAACAAGTCATTTATTTTCAAGCCTGTCTCTTCCAAACTTTTGTATACTATACTCTGGCCACCTCAGAGTTCTTACTGTTGGCAGTCATGGCCTATGACAGGTATGTGTCTATATGTAAACCTCTGCAGTATCAAACTATATTGACAAAAACAACTGTCAGTGTCCTTCTCATTTTAGCTTGGCTTATGCCTGCTTGTGAGATTGCAGTGTCAGTCGCTCTGAATGCTAATATAAAACTCTGTACCTTTACTTTAAAAAGTATTTTTTGTAACAATTCAATTTACAAAAGTCAGTGTGTGAGTTCAGTAGCACTATCTATTTATGGTGTTTTTATGTTGGTAAATATTGCACTGTTCCCTGTCCTTTTCATACTTTTTACATACACCAGGATACTTATTATATTGTACCAAAGTAATAAAATATTCAGGAGAAAAGCTGTACAGACCTGTTTACCTCACCTGCTGGTTTTAATCAGCTTTTCCTGTTTCTTCATTTATGATATTATTATAGTGAAACTGGAATCAGATTTCTCAATAACTGCTCGTTTAATAATGACTTTACAAGTGATTGTGTATCATCCTCTCTTAAACCCAATCATATATGGAGTAAAGATGAAAAAAATCTCTATACACCTCAAGCGTTTGTTGTACACTTGTGGTTTCAGATCTAATCGCACTAATATATCCACACTGTGAATCACTGTACAGTTGTTTCATCTGTTGTCATAATGCAGAGATGTGGTTCTGACTGGCATTTAATGGATTTGTGTTTATGACTGATGCACTCCATAGAGTATAATAGTAGAGATTGCAGTGTCAGTCGCTCTGAATGCTAATATAAAACTCTGTACCTTTACCCTTACCATTAGGGTTAGGGTTAGTATCATTATCTCTAGTTATATTGTTGCAGTTCACTGTAGTCATAAAGTGAAGATAAATAAAGGGTGGAATTCTGTATGGTTGATTAAAAATGTCAGTGTTTTGTGTTTTAAGTGTTAACAGCTTTAAACACAGCAACACATAGCAGCACATCACAGATCTTTCATCTTTATTTTGTTCTGTTACACATTATTATTCAGCTCTGTTGGATGTAAACTAATAAAATGGCATCGTTATTATCTTCTGCTCCACATGTTTTCATCATCATTTACACACTCCAAATATTGATAAAGTACTCAGTCAAAATATTAGTTTAAAAGTTTGTCTTTATTTGATAAAACTTTTCCTGGGTTTCTCACTTGTCACTGGTGTTCATTTAGTGTAAGAGTAATTTAAAATTTGATACCACTGCGACTTGTAATTTCTAGTTTTAAACACATGCCGTGTGTTTGAGGCTGGCCGATCTCACGAAGGTCCCTGCGACGATCCAGTCCAAGTCCTGGACCGAGGCGACTTGCAGATTAGTGGCCAAGACCATAAAATACGTCTGCGACCTGTGGAGCCTCAAGAGACCAATGCCGGGACCCGAGTACGGGTTCTCTGTGCGCAATGGTGTAGTCCACTTCGACCGCGAGGACTCGCCGCTTGTCGATACCTTGAGTGACTGCTACGCGGAAACCTAAACCTGATATATTTCTTTGGAGATGGCCACTTTGTGCCCTCCTGCTTCCGGCATACACTTCACAGCTTGAGGTCCTACATCGATTGCATCGACCCGTGAGGCATTCCTTCATGGTGTGACTCCTGTAACAGCCGACCATTCGAACACCACCCCCGGGACATCTGTAGGATACGTTCGTCTCATCCGCATCGTAGTTCTTTAGACTCAAGCTCTCCAAGTTCCTAGTAGTCTTCACCGGGTCGTCATCCTTTTTCTCGCGGTCGCCTTTGAACAGTCTTGTTTCTTTGCAGTCTGGCACACCACACGCAGTACACACGAGCGCCTTGTAATGTTTGAATGTGGACATCACCCTCGTACCGGGAGCGCTCACGGTGACGGTGGTGCCGCTGGGACACCGGGCATTGTAGGTCTCAGTCACAGCGGAGACCTTACATGCCACGATGCAAGCCAGTAGCACAATGAGCTTCATGCTCGCTTTGTTTGTTTTGTCAGCCAAGACGCTTCGCTTTGTCTAATACCTCGTATTATAACTGTTATGTAGGTTGGTGTCGGCGACTCTATGAGCTCGATGGCCACGGGAACGGATGGCTACAGCAAATGCGGTTGGATGTTTCGAGGATCGGGGGTACGATTGGCTAATGCGAATGCGGTTGGATATTTTTTGAGGATCGAGGGAGCGGTTGGATGGAACGTCTGCGGTCAGACGTGTCAAGGATCAGCGGAACGGTCGGACGTTTCGAGGCTCCATGGCACGGTTGGCTAAAGCGAATGAGGTTGGATGCTTCGAGGCTCCATGGAATGGTTGGCTAAAGCGAATGAGGTTGGACATTTTGAGGCTCCATGGAACGATTGGCTAAAGCGAATGAGGTTGGACGTTTCGAGGCTCCATGGAACGGTTGGCTAAAGCAAATGAGGTTGGACGTTTCGAGGCTCCATGGAACGGTTGGCTAAAGCGAATGCGGTTGGACTTTTTGAGGCTCCATGGAACGGTTGGGTAAAGCAAATGAGGTTGGACGTTTCGAGGCTTCATGGAACGGTTGGCTAAATCGAATGAGGTTGGGCGTTTTGAGGATCGGGGGGAACGGTTGGGTGGAATGTCTGTGGTCAGACGTGTCGAGGATCAGTGGAATGGTCGGACGTTTCGAGGCTCCATGGAACGGTCGGCTAAATCGACTGCAGTCGGATATTTCAAGGATTCACAGAATGGTTGGATAGAGCTGCCGCGGTCGGATATTTCAAGGATTTGCGGAATGGTTGGATAGAGCAGCTGCGGTCTGACGTTTCCAGACTGGTTAGACACAGTGGCTCTGGTTGGACTTTGAACTCTCATAACAGCTAATATGATGGGATGGGTTGTCCGGGTGCCTGGCCGTTTGTGGTTCAAACATGTGAAACCTATCACTGGCTTATCTCAACACCAAAGTCGTAACCGTGTTACCAGCACTCAGTCATCCCGAACAGAGGCCGCATACTCGATGCAGATTACCAAGTGTGCTTACAACGGCCTTGACTAATAATAAAGCTTTCTTGCCCGGTGGTCCCCCCCCCCAAAAAAGAAACAAAATAAGACTAGTCAACAGGAAATTTCATCAAATTCATTTTTATTTGTAATACACGGCCGCATATCACAAGTCAACAAGACGTTTTACCAACATATCAGCTACACACAAAACACAAGGACACCTTCCATAGACATTTGGAGCAGGCCAAACACATGCATGTTAAATGCGGACATCACCAAGGAGATGAACCGACGGTTGGGTTCGGGGATGGTAGTGCCCCCGCACAGGTTCTCCAGATACCGGATCATAGTGTACTCATCATCAGAGTTTACGTTGAGCTCGGCATATTCTTCGGGAAGCAATTGCTCGTGTGCCATCAATACGTCTACCGCGGAGTAGACGTGTGTAATCTTCCGAGCATACTCCGGTATCAGAAGCATGAACCTTAGAGCGTGGGCTTTGTCGCCGAGCGCGGCGCACACCTTCTCTGTCAAAGTCACAGCGGGAGGAGCTTTCCTGACTGAAACAAACACAAAAGTACTTTAGTCTCAAGAAGTCACAATGATCCGGGCCTCGATTTTGCTGTACATTTCACTCACCGAACCTTCCCCGTGGTCCGTACTGTCTCAGGTCATTATATAACCAGGGGTCCATCTTACCGAATGCCTTCAGGAATCTCTCTGCGCGTTCCTCGTGCTCGACGATCTTACGGACCGCCTTAACTGGATTTGTCCTACTGTGAAAAGACCTGCGTAGATTCTCACCGTCGGGGTCATTTGGCAGGACCTCGTCTGCTAAAGAGTTGAAATAACTAACCCTCTCTGTTATGGCGTCCTTGTAGTCCCTCAGTATTTGGGAATACATTTTACAGGCCGAGGTTGAGGGGCCGTGTTGCAGTGCGTGTAAATACGGGAACAATTGCACCGCGGTTGAAGATGACGCCTGCGATTGAAACCACCTAACTGAAGTTGTTAAACAATAGCCAACGGTAGTTGTGGTTTTGTCCACCCATATAAGTGCGACCACCACAATTGCTTGGTTTTCCACAGAAGCTCCAGTGCTACTGAGGTGGCGAGCTGAAAATGTTCTGTTGTCTGTAATGCATTTTATGGGACATGTGCCCGATATGACTAAACGCATGTAAAGATGAAACTGTGGCTGGAATCAAAGCCTGTTGTTGTCTGCAATCTCTCTTTTTTGTTTGTAATAAAAAAATAGTTCTTTCTGTTATCTGTGTATTCAGTGTTTGATTTCCACAAGAAGTAATTCATGTACATGTTCATAAAGCACTGTGGTGCTTCCCAAACTCTCCTTACAAGCCAGTCGGCACTGTTTGTTTGACTGCCAAGTGTGCTTACAACAGCTCCATTTCCCACAATTGAGAAAAGGCGACAGGTCTTTTACGTCACTGCATTTTATTTTGTAATACACAGCTATACATCAGTGTTTTGGAAGCACAAGACATCTTTGATAGTCATTTTCGGCAGGCCGAACACATGCATGTTAAACGAAAACATCACCAAGGAGATGAACCGCCGGTTAGGTTTGGGGACGGTGGTGTCCCCACACAGGTTTTCCAGATACCGCACCATAGCGTTCTCATCGCGGCGGTCTAACCAGAGCTCAGCGTATTCTTCGGGAAGCAATTGCTCGTGTTGCACCAATATGTCTAGCGTGGGCATGACGTGCGTAATCCTCCCAACATACTCCGGCGTCAGAAGCATGGACCTTAGAGCGTGGGCTTTGTCGCCGAGCGCGGCACACACCTTCTCTGTCAAAGTCACAGCGGGAGGAGCTTTCCTGACTGAATCAAATACAAAAAGCACTTTTAGTCTCGAGAAGTCACAGTGATCCGGGCCTCAATTTCACTGTACATTTCACTCACCGAACCTTCCCCGTGGTCCGTAGTGTCTCAGGTCATTATACAAGTAGAGATCATTCTTACGGAAAGCCTTCATGAATCTCTCCGCACGTTCCTCATTCTCAAGGCAATGGTCGACGATCTTACAGATTGCCTTAACCGGATTCGTACTACTGTGAAAAAACCTGTGCAGATTCTCACCGTCGGGGTCATTTGACAGGACCTCATCCGCTAAACCTCTGAAATAGCTAACCCTCTCTGCTATGTCGTCTTTGTAGCCCTTCAGTATTTGGGAATACATTGTACAGGCCGAGGTTTGTGAATAGTGGGATCGTGTTGCCGTGCGTGTAAATACGAGAACATGTTTACACTACGGCAATGTCAGCGTGGACGTCTACAACGCAAAGGAAGCCTCCTGTGTCAACTCGAACGGCGGCCTCTGGGTCACCCCCAAAGTCTGCTCTCACGGCGTATTGGTCGTAGCTCCCCAACTTCATGACGGCCAAGGAGATCCACAAGCCGATTCTGAATGTCAAGAGAAGCGGTTATACGAAGATCAAACCTGACGATGACGGGTGTATACACGACCTACACATCAAGGGCTTTGTGCTCATCAACCACTACGTTCAACTGTGCGAAAGCACGTCGGAGTCCCCCGGCTGATGGTTCTTCAGGCGACACTCGGGCAAGTGGTTCCGACCACCCGAGGAGACGGTGATACCCGAGAAGCAGGCCGACTTTGGGATCGCTGAGCCAGGCAATTTGGTGATCTCGAGGGGAGAGGCGTCGGTGCTGGTGCGCTCAAACGGAGGACTCGTCCTCTCCTCCAGGGTTCTGGCGGTTTTACTGCTACCGGTGCAGGCCTACGAATCAGGCCGTAATCATGTCAAAACCGTTGTTATTTTTCAATGATTCAACGTATGATTCGTATACACGCCTGTGACCCATTGTATTGTGAACCACTGCTTGCCGTTTGTGTCATGTTACAGTGAAATAAAATGCCACTTGTGTACTTCAAACATGTGTTCAGAAAATCGTTGTGTCTTTTTCTAAGATATCACACACAATAACACGTAAGCCTTTTGCCATACGGGACATTGTTATGCAAGCATCCGTATGCCCACACAATTATTTAGAAGGGTATAGACATAGACGCACAATAACACATAAACTCGTGTCCACTTTCAATGAGTGTCTGATCCGTACATGTGCCTGTGGCCCGGTGTTTTGTGAACCCTTGCTTGGCGTTTGTGTCAAGTATGGTGAAATGAATGCACTTGTGTAATTCAAACTTGTGTTCTCAAAATCATTTTCATTCTTCTCCTACAATATTGTGCACACACACACACACACACACACACACACACACACACACACTTTTGTGTTTTTTTTGCTGCGGGAGACATTTTTTTAAGCGTGCCTATGATCATTTTCATTCTTCTCCTACAATATTGTGCACACACACACACACACACACACACACACACTTTTGTTTTTTTTGCCGTACGGGACATTTTTATTCAAGCGTTCATATGCACACAATTGTTGTGTACATCTACAGGGGTGTAGATGTACACAGACAACAACACACACTCATCCTCATTAGGGCAAAGGGTAATTAAAGCATCCAAATATATTTGTTTACAAGTGGCTAAAACATTTTAGATCGTCTCTTTGGATTGGCATAGTTCGTGAGCACAACTCCTCCTTTGCCACCACCACCACCGCCGCCGGTGCCGCAGAAGAACATGTGTCTGATCCCTGTGGAGAGCGCGGAGCACCACGCCATTAGTACAGCTACAGAGGTCCATAGGGCTGCGTCGCTGGCGAATCCCGAAAGCCACCTGCCGAACGTGACCCTGCTAGTCGTGATCTCGTCGTACCGCTTATCAAACTCTTCTAGGCTTCTCGTGATGTTGTCCAGGTCTCGCACGTCCAGGAGCTTGACGCTGATGTTTACCGCCTGCAATAACTGCATCTCAGGTGTCCCGGGGACACCGGATTTCAGTAGATCCGAGAAAGACATGGGTCCGTCCGATATATGCGCTCTGGAGACCATTTTGAGCGGAGGGGACTCGATCTCGACTACGGCCGATCCCTCCATCCAAGTGACTTTCCTATCCTGGTAGCAAATGCCTCGGTGACAAGGGGCGCACACGGTCTTGCACTCGCCAGGATCCTTCGTGCACCTAAGGTACCTCTCGTGAGGCTCAGTCTTGTGACAGTACTTGCCGTAACAGTCAGACGGCTCGTAATACCTGCTGTCTATCAGCCACACTTTGTAGTCGGGCCAGCAGGGCACTCTGTTCGTGCTCATCTTGGGCATGGGTATGATCCCTCTGAACACGGTCTTCTCGACGGTCCCGGGCACAGAGTGCACTATGAAAAGCTTCCTGTTCTTGTACAGGGCCGTGCCGACGGTCGGTAACTTGGACATGCCGGGATGCTCCCGCATGACCGTCATGCCGCTGGGGCAGCTGCCCGAACGTCTCGACGCTATCTGCCTCAGACAGTTTTCCACTCCTCTGGCCATGAACTTGGTGTGCATGGTGCCCTGCGTCATCTGGTGGGTGACGCTCTGCATCTGAGCGTACCACATTTGGTAGCTGGCCATGACCGAGAACTTGACGTTGGTGTCTCGCAAGGCGGCCTCGGTGTTCCTCATCATGGCGTCCCTCAGCGCGGCGAAGTTACTGTTGACGATCTCGTTGTTCTTCTGTATCTTCTTCTCCTGGTCGTCGATCCTGCCGTTGACCAGGGCTATGTTGGTGTCGAGCTCGTTGCTCACTTCGACCAGCCTATTCGACACCGCCACGTATGAGTTCTTGAGAGAGTCCATTTGCTTCTCTAAGTCGTCCGGCCTGTTGGAAACGTGCCACGCGAGCCCCAGCCCCACGCCTCCCGTTATCACCCCAAGGAGGAACCTCTTGTGCCTAGCGTGACCTCCTTGCGGTCCGCGGTCCAGCCAGGGGGTGTGTCGTCGGGCAGCTCGTACATCCGAGCCTTGCTCTCCTGCACGGCCAGCTCCTCCAGACCTTTCCTCATCAGCTCCCCGGCCCTGCGAGCGTCGTTGACGATCTCGTGCGCGGAGTTGCAGAGTCTGCCGTAGTCTTTTCTGCAGCTGTTGTCGCCTCCGCACACGGCGATCAGACAGGGCTGCAGAGCGCTCACGTCGTAATTGACGCAGCTGACGTTCAGGTTGATGTAGTCGATGCCCGGCGTGAAGTTGGAGACGAAATAGAGCGCCTCGACCGGTTTCACTATCCCCCCGTGCTCGGCTTCGACGACCGGTTTGTCCACCGTGTAGCCGTCGTCCACCGAGACCACGTTCATGCTGTGCGCGGTCTGCCCGCCGTTGGAGGCGGGGCACACCTTGTTCACGGGAGGCACGTACTCCACCACGCGTTCCGAATCCAGGATGCCTACCATGTAGTGGTTGCGATCCGTCGTGGGGACGAGGTTGTTGATGTTGACCGCAACCTGAGGAGGTTTCGCAGAGACGGC